GGGCGGGGAAGGGGAAACCAGAAAGCGGGTAGAAGGATTGTCGGGGTTTTCCGTGTGGAAAAGGCACCCGTTTGACTTCATTATTCCCCTCGGAGAGTGACCCACCCGTGTCCATCCTTTATCGCTTTCTGTAAGCTCGGAGACCTACTCCCGCTGCTCCCTGTATCCCGAGTAAGAGCCCGCACAAATCCAGAGGGGCACTACTTGGCTGCGTGAAGTCAAGCAGCAAGTGAAATGCCCGGTTTAGGAACATATCAACATCTACGAGCCGTCTGCTTCCATTCTCACATAGTCTCTCCTGTCATCTGCTAAATCTCCCCCTCCCTTCAAAGACCCTGGAAGCTTCCCCCTCCCCAGAAAGGCCGCCCACCCCACCACCTCCCACACTCTCTCCCTGGAGCAATGCAGGCGGGACCATCTTGGTGACGAAATAAGGGATACCCATATGAACGATGAAACGGATCGAAACACATAAGAGCATTTTCGTTCTATTCCTAATAGCTTCCACTCCTGAATTAAATTCTATCTGCTTAAGAATAATTTATGCTCCTGAATACTAAGCACAGATTTTGGCAGGGCATTCTACAAGAGTCCCAAGAAGCACAACAGAATCTACAGGTTTATACCGGTGTTCACTGAAACACAGTGGAAAAATTTGTTACTGAGACACCAGAAGCTTTTAATATACTTGAATGGAGCAGCCTGTGGTGCACAAAAAGACACACAGAGGCCCCTAGGGTGAAGAAAAAAGGATGTGGAGGACCCACGGAAGCAAAGCAAGGTGAACCTGGGGCATACAGTAACTGACTTCTCCCCAGGGAGGAGCAACCCAGCCTGTCCTTCCCAGCCACTTCCCTGCACACACCTATGGGGACCTTATCTCCTTCCACAGTACATGTGAAAGTCTTTAGATCAAGAAATCCCGAGCTAGAGCTGCGAGGCCAAAGCACGAGCTACAAAGGGACACTAGAGGTCCTTCTGCACCGAAGTATGAACGAACACCTCGTCCCTGGGAGGAAGACCCATGCTCCAAGCAGAGGCAAGGGCACTCGCCTCCAGTTTGGCACAAAAATGAAGAGATTGGAGGGAACAGAAAGGAAACACGTTGATCTCTTTCTTCCTTTCGGAGCTGCGTTTCTCCTCCCGCCAAGTGGACTGCGGACAGTGACTTCAGGTCAGAAAGGCTCGCTCTGGTAACCTACTGCAGGTTCCTTAAACACCCTCCGGTTCTCCGTCCAGGAGGTATCAGGACTTGTGATAGTCTGACCGAAAGGACTCTGGGGGCGCATGAGGGAGATGCCTGGCAACTGGCAGGAGACAGAGGAAAGAGGTGAACTGTGCAAAATGGTTTTCATAGCTAGAACTGGGTTTGACAGACGTGTCCATCCATACTTTAGCCATTTCACCCCTTTTCATCACTTCTGTAGTGACTTACCCATATAAAAAAAAAAAAAAACAACAACAACAAAAAAAACCCAAACCCCCATGTGTCTGGAGTGCTTCCAGCGGTGTAGTTCTTGCTTATGAAGGCAACCCTTCTCCCAGGAGAACATGGAGTGCTTCCAGGGTGAGGGGAGTGGAGAAATCCAAGGACATGTATGCAGATGCCATAATGTCCCAGGAGGAATGTCCCATGGTGGGCCCCAGGGAGTCAAGGAAGCATGGGGCAGGAGCACATTCCCACCGTGTTGGCAGCCAAATGGGCACGAGCAGGTCAATCCCTCCAGAGCAGATTTGGGAGCGTGGGTACTCGCAGCCCCTCTCAGCCAGGCTGTCTGACTGACGGCGCCCAGCTCACACGCTGCTCTATGTGGGAAGGGACACTGTGACTCGGGGACCACCCAGCAGGGCTCAGCCACTGGCAACCCATACTGGGCAGTGCCGCATCCCCAAGTTTCACAGCGAGGGACACCTCATCCCTCCCCAACCCAGAGCACCAAAGCAATGCCCACCGCACAGGCGCCAGCAGTACCAGGGCTGAGCATCGCTTCGGCCTGGACTGCCCCACACGAGATGAAGCCCCGCAGGCGCAGCCAGGCCCGAGGGGAGGGAACAAGCGCAAGGGCAGAAAAGAGCACTCTGGGCCACCCCACCGCCCTCCGCCAGAGGGGTTTAACAGCACCACTATGCTTTGGGGTGCTGCACCTTCTGGGCACTGTCCCTCCTGACAGACTCAAGCAGCATCGCCCAGAGCTGCTCCAGCTCTGGGCGATGTTCCCAGTTTCACCTGGTGGCAACAGCCCTCTGCCCTCAGCCCTGCAGAGACCCCTCAGGAGCCACCCCGGGTCAGGTGCCACAAGTCAAGGTGAAAGGTGACAGCGGCAACAACTTTGTCCCAAGTGTGTAGAACAGAATCAGAATCATAAAATGGTTAGAGTTGGAAGGGACCTTAAAGATCACTTAGTTGCAACCCCCCTGCCATGGGCAGGGACACCTTCCAGGTTGCTCAAAGCCCCATCCAACCTAACCTGGAATGTTTCCAGGGATGGAGCATCTCCCACTTCTCTGAGCAACCTGTTCCCAGTGCTTCACCACCCTCAATGTAAAAAATTTCTTCCTTACATCTAGTCTGAATCTACCCTCTTTTAGTTTAAAGCTGTTACCCCTTGTCCTATTGCTACAGGCCCTATTAAAAAGTCCCTCCCCGTCTTTCTTATAAGCCCCCTTTAGGCACTGGAAGGCTGATATAAGGTCTTCCCAGAGCCTTTTCTTCTCCAGGCTGAACAGCCCCAACTCTCTCAGCCTGTCCTCATAGGAGAGGTGCTCCAGCCCTCTGATCGTCTTCATGGCCCTCCTCTGGACCCACTCCAACAGGTCCATGTCCTTCTTATGTTGGGGCCCCAGAATACTCCAGGTGGGGTCTCCCCAGAGCGGAGCAGAGGGGCAGAGTCACCTCCCCCGACCCGCTGTCCACGCTTCTTTCCGGTGCAGACACGAGTGACTCTCCGGGCTGCCAGCGCACAT